CTGGCATTGTCTAGCTTTCCCCAGCCAAGGTGATGAATAAGGACCAGACCTGAGAGGTTACCTTGCATTGGAGCAAAAGGTGGCTGTTTGTTTCAACAGCTTTCATACAAAGAGGGCATATGGAAGCTAAGTGAGATTTCCTTTTCTGTAAAGCTTCATGGGTAAGACATGCCCTCCTTACTACCAACCAGGAGAAACATTTCACCTTATCAGGTGCCATGCTTCTCCAAATAGCTTTCCAGGGACCTCTTTCTCTTCCTGTCAGCTCTGAAAGGGCCCTCCTGTAAATTCTGCTGACTGAAAATTTGTCATCTGTCTTGTGACTCCATTTGATAATATCAGGGTCATTGGTGGTACCTGTGAAAGTTCCTATTCTACCAAGTAGAGCAGCCACTCTCTCAACCTCCCAATCATTTCATAAACCTCCTGAAAATTAGGTTCCATCTCTGAGTTGACCAGGTATCTTCTATTGTGCTATTTTGGCTGGTGCTGATGTTGAAGGAGGGTGGGGAAAGCCTCTTGCAAAGTGCCTTGACTATCCCAGTTATCCTTCCACAAAAGGATTTTTCTGCCATTGCCCACTGGGAAGGTAATGTCCTTCCCAAGGTTATTCCAGAAGAACCTGATGGTCCACCATAGTCCAGCTCCGTAAGTGTCAGTGGATTCTTCAGTGCACCACTGACCATTTTGTCCATATTTCTGCTCTATTACATTCTTCCACAAGGCTGTTCTGTCCTCAGCAAATCTCCACAACCATTTTTTGAGCAGGCTGCTATTTTGTAGCATTAGAAAGTATTGGCTATTGAAAAATGAGGAAATGAATGATAGGGAAAAGGAGTTAAGGAAGGTTGCTCCTCTTTGTATTTTTGGGTTGATTTGGAGTTAGAGGAATAGAAGAATATTTGAAGGGGTCGAGAGTGCATTCTGGAGGGTAAATAGTTCATTTTTGCTTCATTTGGTGTAATAAAGATATCCCTGAACTCACATAGTATATTGACACCGTCTTCGTGATCAATGAGATTATTTTGACTTATGATATTTTCAAAAAAGATGTCTTTGAAATACGGCTCGAAATGTTGTCATACTTGCTGCGATATGGTCTTTTTTGATGCCTCTCTTTAATTTCTATCTCTGCTAGCTCAGTGGGCTAAATCTTACGTTAAAAAATAGTTGAGTGTATTTATCTTTTTGTAGACAAATTTAACGCACTGGTTAAATGGGATATAATTTGAGTAGTGGTCTCAAAAAATCCATTTGTGCAAATGCCCCTATATTACTTACATGTTGAAGCTGAAAGTATGAATGGGTTGCTTTTTCCTATTATCTTTACGGTGGTTCGAGTCAAACTCTGCGTAGTGGGAATAGTCCATGTAGAATATCATCATTAATTCTATGAGCACCTGTAGTGATCCTCATAAAATTAATAGTATTCTATATTTCCTGATTTTAATTTATGATGTGAATAGTGAGTTAAGGAAGAAAGATTTTTATTGAAAAAAAAAAGGAAGGTAAGGAAGAAAATGTCTAATCTAATTATGAGAGGTTAAGTGACTTCTGAATTCCTTTTTAATCTACTTACTTGCATAAGCTTATACTCTTTTTTCTGAGTCCAATTCAGATATTGTCCAAAAACCTAATTTATTCTTGACCTTGAGTCTTAGCCTTTGTACCGAAAGAGGGACACTCAGTGTTTCTCCATCCTGTTTTCCAGCTTTCTTCCTAATGTCTACTCTATAAACTCTTAAAACTTTTTTTTATTCAAAAAATGCAAATCAGTTAACGTGTTCATCCAGGAAGCTTGTGACCGCAGTTAGCATATTCAGTAAGCTGATTTTAATCAAATTAGAGTCTGATTTGTCAACTTTCTTTATTTCTTCCTTGGTGCATCAGTCATCTCAATGAGATGTAATTTTGTTACATCTTTTTTTTTTTTTTTGGGGGGGGTGTTGGTGGTTGTGCGGTGGTTTTGGGAGTTCCCCAATCAACAAGGTGGTGCGATCTTTGAGTCTTGTACCACTCAGTTGAACAACTGGCACATGGTTGGAGACTCCAGCTTACTCACTAGATAGGGCCTTATTGGATTAGAAATTTCAATCACACTCCCCTAGGACACCAAAAAAACCGGGCCGAACTTCTAAAGCACCCGCTTCGATAGAACAGTATCATGGCAATTATTATATATCTTAGTAGTCATATTTGACCTTGGGAATCATCACAAGTACGGCTTACCTGCTTTTGAAATATATACCATGCTACCATTTTAACTAAGTGATCTAATTATTTGTTTGTAGAATAAGATTTCATGATCTGCAAGTGCATGTATATTCACATTCTGTATGTAATTGCTCGTGAAGGGAGGGGGTGGGGGAGTTTGGTGAAGGAGGGAAGTGGTGGTTTGGATTTGGAAAGAGATGGGAGAAGGTGTATAACAGAATGAGGAGGCAGAAGAGCTTGCATTAGTGGAAGGGAGGAGGAGAAAGAATGGGGAAGATGAACATTTAATTGTGTGCCATATTTATAGAATCGACGAAATGCTTCGGGGAGTTGAAAATAAGCATAGATAGAAGAGGAAAATATTTTTCTTTTTGGTGCTTATTTACCTTGTCCAAAAATTTATCATATATTAGATGGCCCTAATGCATATCTTTTGCTTCTTTGTATTTTCTTCATACCAAATTTGTTCAAGTGTATTGATACTCCTATCTGACATATTCTAAATTTACATATCTATAGGGATGCCGGAATGGAGATTCATGTTCGTTTTCTCACGATTCAGTTCCATCTGCTTATTCTGGTGTCCTGTCAAGTTTATGCCTGCCGGAGAATGATGCTGCTGATATGTGGTCACTTCTGCAATGGTTTCCTGTACCCTATCATGGGAGCATCCTCATACTGGATGACAATGATTTATATTTTTCATCGCATCTTGCACGGTTTTATGCTCCGTCTTCGATAATCTCCACAACATCCCTTCGAGATGAATCCACACTTGATCAGTTACCAACTGGAGTCAGAATTCTGTGGGGCCATTCACATCCATACACCACGATAATATCCAAAACTTCAGGGAGTTCAGTTCCATGGAATGAAGTTAAATGTGTCCTATGGTTCCCAAAATTTGAAGCAGAACATAAAGAAGGGGATAGGAGCATGATGCAGACCTTTTTTGAGTATTTTGCCATCCGGATGCTTGGAGATGCCTTATATGAAGCTAAAGTAATTATCACCATGAATAGCTTACGTTTCTCACACCTACAGGTAATTTACTCATACTGGCTTTGGTTATCCCCAATAGATGCTGGATTTGTGCTTTCTACTTAAAAGTTAATTGACAAGAGACAAGTTTGGAAGTTATTTGCATATTTTTGGTAATTTTGAGCAACTTCCTGAGATTCCTCGAGAAGTTTCTCCCTAAATCTTTTTTAACTTCTCCTATCTTTCTGACAGTTCTGTCTGAAGTGCTATTTGTGGGTGTAATGGGGCAGGAAAGGAACCTGGAAACATAAATGCAAAATCTATATCAATTAGTTTATAGTAATTGAGCTTTTCGGAAGTTGACAATTGACATGAAAATATGCATTGTATGTGGAGCTGCTTTGTCTCAATATATATATTTATATATATTTTATGTTTAACCATTTGGTATCCGGGATCCAAGCTTACTAATTAAGATTCATGCTGGGTAGGACCCCTTTAAGGGGGAAGCACTCCAACTAGGAATATGAGTGCTATTTAAGTTGGCATACAGCAATGCACATTTCAAAGAGAATGCCTGAAAATCTCATTTGGAAAAAACTAAAGGTGTTTCTCTGTTCTTTTCTATTGGCTGAGGCTCTTGAGTTATTTTGAACCGTTGATAAATCTTGGCAAGTTTTGTAATATAGTCTCCTTATAAAACCTTAGTCCCCTTCCGTATTTCTTTTCATGCTGCAAATAGTTCTCTCCTCCTACTCATCCTCGCCCTAAATTGCATCTGTGCTAATAGAAATGCTTCATAGATTCAGATTCCCCCCCCCCCCCCCCCTCTCCCCGCCTTGGTCCTTACTTTAGCTGAAACTGAATGTTTGACACTGTTGCTTCAGGTGGAAAAGCTGGCGAGGGAGTGCTGCTTTTTTCTCAATGATTCATTTCTATTTGACGAACAGAACCTTGGAGAATTATTCGATGAGGTTAGAGCCAGAAAGCCAATGGTGCAGTCGAGGCCTGTCTCGTATGTTTTCTCACTGCATCCTCCTGTAGGTGTCCTGCCTGGTGATTTTGCAACACTCCTTGATCAAAATTTGAATAAGGTTGTCTAGATATAGGATCAGCCAGCTCCTGAATGATGTGCAGCTCGGAGAGTTAATGTTATGGAAATTCACATAGAAGTAGGGGTTTTGACTTGTGAAATCATTTCAGTAACAACAGCGCGAAAAAAGGTTTTCTCATACTCTTAAATTATCAACTATAGAAGGGTTTGTCATGTACATATTTATCTCATAAGGGAGGATAGAGTTCCTTTTGATATCCAAAAATGAAAACTGCAGAGAATTTTCGTCTTGATCAGTTTTTTTTGTTTAATCATTTCATCTCCCCCTCCCATGTGTTTTATTGGTTATGATAATTAATGGTGAACTTGATTTTAGTTTTATAGTTTTTTTTTTGTGCGTGTATATAACCATACGGTCAATTGGCCGGACTAATTTGATTTTGTGGCGCATAAGGAGGGTCTATTTAAAGGGTAAAATGCTCTTTACTAGTTTTTTTTTTTTAGGGCTCAATCACTTCTGGAATGAATTATAGAGTTACGAAAGTGACTTCAGTTTGCCAGTTCAGACTGAACTCCTCATTTTATGTTGTGATAGATATATAATATGGAAGACAGATTTGGGGATGAACTGAATATACATATAAGGCTGCTATTACATCAATATATAATTCTATGGGTGATTACAGTGAATTTTCTGAATTACAAACATTGATATGCTTACAATACTGACATACTTTCTGCCTGCTTCTTCCTATGATATGTCACCAAAATCTTCACTGTAATCATTGATATATTCTGTCAATACAAGAACAAAGATGGTATCGCGTGAGCTCCAGTAGCAGCAGTAATATGTAAAAGCAAGATAAAACGTATGCATGGATGACCTACCAGGACAACGATGGAAGTTTGTTGCAGTTTGCTGGAGCCCATCCAATTTGCTGTTTCTCATTGTCGTAAATCACCAGTTTGTCTAACATAGAAATATCTGCATACGTAAATCCAGAGCAAAATTAATCCAATCATTTTCTCCAAAGAGGACATTATTTTCGATATCTAGACGAATTATAAAAAGAACAATGCCTTGTTCTGTCATACCTCCGATCATATTAACATCTCCTATTCCAGCCTCCGAACCGTTCAATATCCCTAAGCATACATTGCCCTTATCCTGAGAGGATACAAATATCAGTATCGTGATCTAAAAGATTCATAGAGTAATTTAAAAGGCACTTACAGTAAGAATAAGATATGCCTCAGGTATCAGTTGAAGCTGTATATTCTTAGCTTTTGTGAAACTAAGTGTCAACGGCTTGAAGTACATGGTAGCATCTTTAAGGAATTTGAAAGGTTTGGAGCCTTTCCAGCAGACGGGCAAACTTTTGTCCTCCACTGCATCAGTCAGTTGCTTTGGGTCTATGTTTTTCTTAATCTGAAATCAGCAATATCACAAGTCCAAAGCCAAAAACATGATAAGTTATATAGGATGGAGGTTTTGCCTGATCTTACCAAAGACAACAGGGTCTTGTAGGCTTCGGAATGGAAGTAGGTAAAGGTAGTTCCACTGTCTAAAATTATCGGTATACCCTTTATTCCAGTTGCTTGCCCATTGAATAGGACATCTGCTGGTCCCAAAGAATACTCTTTCCTGAAATCATAGTAATCCAGAAAAGTTTATTCACATCTTGCATGCAAAGTGCAGATCGCCATATACAAAAGCAACAACTACAGACAGAACATACTCTGAAGATGCAGGTACAATAGGTAACCAAACAATCCCAGAAGACGGGACAATGTCATTACCAAGGAAAAGAAAACCTCCACCTTTCCTGCTTAAACAGTGACCTACTACATTCCGGATTAAACCCATACTACTCATTTGTGATAGTATGCTTGATTTTCCATTTCCTAGACCGAGAATTCCATCTGTATAAGGTGGTGAATGCCCAGAGCGTGGCACTTCTTGATCATACCCACAACTACACAAGGGAAATCAAGCTTAGCTACAAACTTCATCGTAGCTAACAATTTTAAAGGTTAGTTTATTATCAGTTTCTTACCCAAACACCAGAGGAGGAGCAATGGAGGTACCATTAGTGTATTTTACTTGAAATGCGTCTCTGACCAGCACTCCCAAGGATGAACAATGATCCGCATACTCAATCTCATAGTCACATTGATCGGTAGGAGTGTGACTGGGAGGGTTTGCACCATGAATGGATGCACATATGGGATCGTTATGCTTGACCAAATTCTTATTCGGTTTGTAAGGATGGTGAGGACCCTGCAATGTCATGCAGAAATTATGAAACATATTTCTGAGTATTTTGGATTTAACTGGAAAGAGCGAATAAAAAGAAGTAGTCACCGGAAGATTTTTGGCGCCAGGTATATCACATTGGAGCCAAGTGAGATCACTCCCTGTGTCTACATCAAGAAAGAAAGATCTAGGGGGTTGGCCTACATTGAGTACCACCTGATAATACCTGAACATGAATCGAATATCCGAGTTCAGAGAACAGGAAACAAGTAATATGCAAGTTTTATGAATATAAAAGGAAATTCATAAAACTAATAGAATTATACATGCAAAAAAACCGTAACAATAACAATAAGGTTTGTTGATTGAGATTCTTAAAAAATTACTAGGGGCAGGGGCTCTTCATCATATGGGCGTCAGGCTGAGTCCAATCAAACTTGTTAGGATATCAAATCAAAGACAAGTTGAATTTAAATCGCTTTCAATCAAACTTTATAGTAGTAAAGTGTAGGAACAACACAAGATAAAGTAAAGATTGAATTGAAAATATACCCTTTAGGATAGACATTCCCATCAAGGAGAAAAACCATAGTACCAAAATATGATTGTTCCTTCATTGGTAGAGTAAAGGCAGAACAATTATGAAAGTATCTACATAGAAGCATAATGTACCACACTGATAACACCCAAGATGGTACCAATTTCCCTTTCATGATTTATTTGATTAAAGATAACAAATGGCTCAAAAATCAACAAATAAAAGTTTAAAGTTTAGTAAAAAATGAGAGAGGACTTGGTGAGACTAATTTAGAATAAGTGATATATATATACTAAAAAGAAATGGAGCATTGACTTGTTTTATGGTTTGGGGGTGGGGGTTGTAAATATTATTACTCCCTTCGTTTCAAAAAGAGTGACCTAGTTTGACTTGTCACGGAATTCACAAAAATGAAGAAGAATTTTGAATCTAGTGGTCCTAAATTAAAGTTATGTCAAATGTACAAAATTATTCTTTAATCTTGCGGCCTTAAACATGTCACGTGGAAATCTGAAATTAAAATGTTACCAAAAAAAGAAAGAGATCATTCTTTTTGAAACAGACTAAAAAGGAAAATGAGTCATTCTTTTTTAAATAAAGGGAGTATTAAAACTAGGGGTGTTAAATGGTAGGATTTGAATGCTTGTTTTATAAAATTTATATGGTGTTTAACTTTTTGGCTAGTTTATTTTGTATAATTAGAATTAGACTTTTTAGAATTGTTTTATCATTTTGATTTCTCCTTTGTATTGATACGATTCGATTAATTAAGTATTTTAATTATTCAGCACAATCATATATTCATAGAGACTTATGATTTTATTAAAAGAAATTTAATAATTGATTCAATCTGTTCATCAATTTTTTAAAAAAAACATTCACACTTCTGACTAAAAGAATGTGTTAAAATTATTATTCTTTTGTCCTAATATATATGACATTAGTTGAATGTTGAGAGTCAGATGATTATTTTCTTATCACAACTTTTTTTTCTTATGCTTTATAAGTATTTGAAATTGTTACTATTTTGATTTATAGTATTTATTTTAAACCCTACCTCTCAAATATGTAAATTTCTTTTCAGAAAACTTAAAAATTTAATTTTTATATTTACGATCAAAATTAAAAAATTTAACACTTGAAATTTAAACCGTGCTACATATTATTTAGGGGAAAGAGATATATCACGCCATCCTACATTTATATATCAACTACATATGACTATAATAGGTTAAGCAAAATTTTATTACTATACAAATTTATTACTACAATCTTTTGGTAACATTATCAAGATAACAATTTTTTAAGAATATTGCAATTTATAGCTAATTTGAAACCGACTGCAATTAAGATCGACTCTATTAAAGTAGGGATAATAAATAATCATATTTTTAAAGTGGGGGAAAAGAATATGTTAATTGTTATCGATATTAGGCAGAGTTGCTTTTTCTTGCTCCAAAAGAGATTGGTATTGGTAGAGTCGCATTCAACCCATCTTTTTGCCCTTTGGCTGATAATCACATCGGCCATAAGGTGGTCTATCACCTCGATTGGGGAGAAAAGCCTTTTTTTTTGTTGAAAACAGACTGTATAATTTCTACAAAAATAAATAAGCAAATTCCCTCTTTTTATGGATGTCCTCCCACCTCCACCTCTACCCCCTATTTTTTTTTTTTTTTTAAAAAAAAAAATAAAAAAAAAATAATAATAATAAAAATTTCCACATTCACTTCTGGAATGAATTATAGAGTTACGAAAGTGACTTCAGTTCACCAGTTCAAACTCAACTCCTTATTTTACGTTGTAATATATATATATATATATATATATATATATATATAGAAGAAGACAAATTTAGGAATGAACTGAATATACATATAAGGCTGCTATTATATAAATATATAATTATATGGGTGATTACAGTGAATTTTCTGTATTACAAATCAACTAAAATATGTTCTTCTGTAATATAGCAAACATTGGTATGCTTACAATACTGACATACTTTCTGCCTGCTTCTTCCTATGATAGGTAACCAAAATCTTCACTGTTAATCATTGATATATTCTGTCAATACAAGAACAAAGATGGTGTCGAGTGAGATCCGTAGCAGGAGTAATATGAACAAGCAAGATAAACGTATGTTTGGACGACCTACCAGGACTACGATGGAAGCTTGTTGCAGTTTGCTGGAACCCATCCAATCTGCTGTTTTTCGTTGTCGTAAATCACCATTTTGTCTAACATAGAAATATCTGCATAAGTAAATCCAGAGAAAATGAGGAAAGAAAGTTAAAATGTGGACAACAATTTCGATACTGATGTGCTCCCCCTCGGAGAAAATGTTAGTCATGTGTGTTCTTTTGTTGTACATTTTCTTGGGAGAAGACGACCACAAAAATTTTGAACAGCACAAAAAGAAAGATGCCTCGTTCTGTCTTACCTCCGATGATATTAACATCTCCTAATCCAACCTCCGAACCATTCAATATCCCTAAGCATACATTGCCCTTATCCTGAGAGGATACAAATATCAGTATCATGATGTGCTATACTTTTGAGCTGCATTATAAGATTCACGGAGTGATTTGAAGAGCACTTACAGTATGAATAAGATAAGCCTCAGGTGTCAGTTGAAGCTGAATATTCTTAGCTTTTGTGAAACTAAGTGTCAATGGCTTGAAGTACCTCGTAGCATCTATAAGGGATTTGAAAGGTTTGGAGCCTTTCCAGCAGACGGGCAAACTTTTGTCGTTCACTGCATCAGTCAGCTGCTTTGCGTCTATGTTTTTCTTAATCTGAAATCAGCAACTATCATAAGTCCTAAGCCAAAAAGATGATAAGCATATAGGATGGAGGTTTTTTCTGATCTTACCGAAGACAACAGAGTTTTGTAGGCTTTGGAATTGAAGTAGGTAAAGGTACTTCCACTGTCTAAAATTATCGGTAGACCCTTTATTCCAGTTGCCTGCCCACCGAAAAGGAGATCTGCCGGTCCCAAAGAATAGTGTTTCCTGAAATCATAGTAATCCAGAAAAGTTTATTCACATCTTGCATGCAAAGTGCAAATTTCCATATAAAAGCACCAACTACAGATAGAACATACTCTGAAGATTCACGGACGATAGGTGACCAAACAATCCCAGAAGACGGGACAACATCATCTCCAAGGAAAAGAAAACCTCCACCTTGCCCGCTTAAACAGTGACCTACTACATTCCGGATAAAACCCAAGCTACTCAACTGTGATACTATGCTTGATTTTCCATTTCCTAGGCCAAGAATTCCATCTGTATAAGGTGCATGCTCAGAGGCTGGCACTTCTTGATCATACCCACAACTACAGAAGGGAAAACAAACTCATGAATCACAAGCACCACAATTTCAGTAACAGAATAAACACTACAAAAAAAAAAAAACTAGAATTAGCAACAAACTTCATCACTAAATTGCTCATAGCTAACAATTTTTTTTGATAATCCATAACTAACTCGTTGCTAAATAGAAACAGCAACAGATTTCTCCGTTGTTGATTCCAATCCTTTTAGCAGTGAAAGTGGAAGAAGTAACATTCTGTTTGTTGGTTGACAATTTTAAAGGTTAGTTTTAAGGAGTAGTTTATCAGTTTCTTACCCAAACACCAGAGGAGGAGCAATGGAGCTACCATTGGTGAATTTTACTGGAAATGTGTCTCTGACCAGCACTCCCAAGGATGAACAATGATCCGCATACTCAACCTCATAGTCACATTGATCGTCAGGAGTGTGACGGGGATGGTTTGCGGGTGAGTGAAGTGATGCACATATGGGATCCTTATGCTTGACAACATTTTTATTCGGTTTGTACGGACTGTGAGGTGCCTGCAATGTCATACATATATGCAGAAATTAGGAAAGATATTTCTGACAACTTTACAAGTGATTTTGGATTTGAATTCATATTAATAATCTTCTGTGTAACTTGAAAGAGCTAGGCTGCAGAAGGAATAAAAAGAAGTACTCACTGGAATACATTTTACACAAGGTGCGTCACATTGGAGCCAAGTGAGATCACTCCCTGTGTCTATGTCAAGAAAGTAAGGTTTGGGGGGTTGGCCTACATTGAGTGTCACCTGATAATACCTGAATGTGAATCGAATATACGAGTTTAAGAGACAGAGAACAGGAAACAAGTAATATGCAAGTTTTACGAATTTCAAACGCAAATATAAAAGGAAATCCAAATTCTAGAAACTAGCAACAAATTTTCTCATGGTGAACCAAGAACTCATCCCCAACACAAAAACTCGTATAAAATTGCTAGCTGATGTAAGTTAGAATGAACAGAGGAATGTTTTGTGTAAACAAGCCCATTACATCACAGCAAAACCCAGATACATCTGTCCTTTCTCAACGTATTTCTTTAGACAAAGACTCCAGTTTTTCAGACGATAAATCTTTCTCCGATCATGGATGGTGAATCAAGCCCATGTTCCAATTGAAAATAATAATGCAAGTTCTTCCTTTTCGATGTTGAAAAGATGAGTAGTTAGTCTTCTAGGGATGTCTCTGGAAAGCATGATATATTGGTCTATGGTGATTATGGTTCCAAAGGGAGGCGTCCTTGTGCAAATATTTACTGAGAGGCATGTGCAACCGGGGGCCCAACTGTTCCTTTTCTCATTCTATACCAGCAAAGAGGCCCACGTGCAAGTTTTTCTTCTCTTTACATGAATCAATAGTAAAGAGAGGAAAAAATTGCAAATGGGCCTCTTTGCTTGTATAGAATGAGAAAAGGATCAGTGAGGACCCCGATTGCACAGGCCCCTGAGAAAATATTTGCATGGAGAAGCCCCCTTGTGGAACCATCATTACCGTAGACCAATAAGTCATGATTTCTAGAGACACTTGTAAAAGACTGACTTCTCATCTACTCAAAACATCGGAAACCCGGATACATCTGTCCTTTCTCAATTCATTTCTTTAGACAAAGACTCCGTTGTTTCCTCTTTTCAGACGATACGTCTTTCTTCAGACATGGAGTGTGAATCAACCCATGTTCCAATTGAAATAC